TTTGTTTGATCAGGCAAGTAGTTTGGATCCTTGCTATATAGTCATGGTGGCATTCTCCTTGTATTAGGAAAATAACTGATAGGTCATCGGTATTGAAGTTCGAGACCTATATGGTACATAAGCTCCTAGAGTCTTTGACTCTTGGAAGAAGAGTTCAATGTGTCATTAGTGAAAAATTTTGTTTCCCGCCTTTAAATTTTGTAATCATCGCCTTCTGGATAGGTCATCGTTTAAGTGGTTGCATCAAGTGTAATGACGACAGGTCAAATGTCGTAGGAAATTTTTGGAAGCATAGGTGTGAAACACCTTAGGGATGTGAAAAGTTGCATCTGTTCCCATCGTTGATCTTGAAGAGATCCAATGGTTCGAAAAGGAACAACAATTTATCAAGATAAATAAATATATTAAATTATTTAATAATTTATTTAAAGTGTTAAAATTTAATTTATAAGTATGTAATAAATAAATATTTATAATTTTATAAATTATATTATCATTATAAATTATAAAAATAAATAATTTAAATTATAATTTTAAATAGAAATAAGTAGATTGTTAATTATAAAATTAAGTATATATAAATAAAGATTAATTAAACATATTATTATTATTATTATCCTCTCTCTCTGTGAGAGAGAGATATATAGAGAGAGCATTTATTGTGTATTAATGTTGGGGTAGAAGGGTGTCACACCTCATGCCCGGCGTGATTCACCCAAAGACTCCCATCTTTAATCGCGCCTGGCGCGACTAACCTCACACCTGGCGTGATTAGAAAATGGTTGTTTCTAATCAATGCACGTCAGGCGCCAAGAACATGCATCCGGTGCAAATTCAAACAACCCCCAAAACTTTGAAAATTCCATCCAAAACCTGAAAATCAGGAAATCCAATCACATGAAATCCATAAAACATAACACATGGGCTCCATACAATTCGAAAACAAACTTAGATTCAACATGCATCCACTCGATGCATCGAAATCACCAAAAACCCCATCTTTCCCAAAAATCCCAAAAAATGAGCAATTCTTTCAATCCACCCTTTGATTATCAAAATTCATGCATCAATTGAGTTTCTAAACTCACATGCAACCAAACAACCTACATTCTAGCTTCCTTCACCTAAATGTTGGCTCAAACCAGCCAAGAAATGAGAAGAAGAAGAAATTCCTTTGAAGCTCAGCTTGCGGACTTCAATCCTCCAAAAACAAGCTTCCTAGCCTGAATTCCAAGAAAAGACAGAAGACATTAGTGATCTAGAGGAGAAGAAGAATCAAACAGAAAAATTTGGGAGAGAAAGGAGCTCACAGACCCAGAGTCCTTATCTCTAAAACCTCTCTCAAAATTTTCTTTGGGACTGAGCTTATGAGGCTCCCTTCTCAGAGAAAACCTTATATACTCTTCTCTCTAATATCCACTAAACTCTGAAACCCACTTACTACGTCACAGATATGACCAAATTAATATATATATATATGAGGCTCATGACCCATCTTACAACCTGGATAGCAGTCTCTTTTATCAATGATTCTGAACTGTCTATTCTTGTTTTTGCCTGTTGTTACAGCTGAAAAATTACAGGGCAACGGGATTAGTCATGGCTGTTGAAGTAGACAAAATTGCAACATTTCGTCAAGAATTAGCTTCTTTAATAAATGAAACCTGAAGACATCCTGAAATTAAAATTAATATATATATATATATATATATATATATATATAATTAAGTGACAAACAATCATCACTTTACAAGTCTCGACTTTATAAAGTTAAGTTTATTAAGATTATAGTTAGGATAAATTAAAATAAGTTTACTATTCAAATCAAGTTCCACAAGTTTTAAAGTTAAAACAAATTTATATCTAAATAATAAGTATTATATGTTCAAAATTTACTAAAAAATATTATGTTTTTCTTAAGGATTGACCTTGACCTCTTGACTCTTAAGCCAACATTACTTTCACCAAACAATAGTGACTTGGAGCAATTGTTTTGAAGATCACTTTGGCCTTTGAACTCTTTAGTCGATATTGTTTATATCAAACAATATCAACTTGAGGCTAAGGCCCCTCAACCTCCAATCTCAATGGGTATTGTTGCCTCCCTAGCTAGAGTGACATTAACTCCTTAAAGACTCCCTTTTTGCACTAAGTATTGACAACTCTAACAATAAAAAAAAGCTAGTATCCTTGTTGTTGTGTACTTGGAGGTTACCACACACATACACATATCTCCAAATTGGTAAGATATTGTCTGTTTTGAGACCAACTCTCATGATTTTGCTTTTAGATACTACCCAAGATACCTCTCAATCAATGGAGACAATTATCTGTATATAAACTCATGTCCTTCCTTTTATTTAAATGATGTGGGACTTTGCTGGCATCCCAACACTTATACCAATCTAATATATCTCTATTTTTGCTGATAATAATAATAATAATAAATAAATAAAAGTTGACAATCCTAACATATCTGACCCAACAACTTGGTTACACTGAGGTACGCTGAGACAAAAGACTTGGATTTCGTTAAGTTCTTTTACGGGTAATTAATTATGGGGTAAAGTTAATAACTTTAATTAATAAACTAAAACTCGGGTCTTGAAACCGCAGTACTTATGATTGAGGTGATGGTTATTATTTGTTGAAAAAGGGGTGTTTTTTTTTTCCCTTCCAATAATATTAAAAGATTTCATAATATTTCGATCGTATATAAATAGAAAGAAGTAGCCAATACAGTTATTAATATAAAAAAGTTTCTCACGTTCGAACAGTTGCAATTTTCCTGCTCCTATCTCTCGTGTGGAAAGGCTTAAGGTTTACAAGATTCTCTATCTTGTTGATTAAGTAAAATGACACCTTTTTTTGTAATATATTTTTTTTCTAAAAAAAGGTTTAGTCAAATTAATTTATGGAAGCTTTGTGTAGCCAGCGAATTGGATCACGCATCTCGGTCAACAACCAATCCTTAAGAACATTGTCTTATCAGCTTTTTTTAATTGATTTTTATAATCATTGTCTTGTCAAGTATTTCCTATCTTTATAATCCTGTTGTTTCGTTTTCCTTAAAAAAAACAAAACTCGATGTTCTTCGCAAAAATAATTTCATTGTAACGGAAGTACAAGCATATGGTATACAAAATATTAGTATATAATAGCTTTGAAGTATACTTAATTTTATTATAAAGAAAAAAGAAATATAGTTTTATTTATTAAAATATATTAAGGCTCGTGAAATAATGATAGTTTCACACAATAAATCTTACCTATATACTTTCATAATTTTTAATAAATTATTTAATAATAAAATGAGTTATTAATAATTCTCATAATATATATAAACCACTTAATATAATTATAAGTACATAAATGTTAGAACATAGCTAGAGATGTAAAAAAACATTATATGCATGAATATCTCTCTATAATTAAAAAATAAATATTATAAATGGGTATTTGCAGATATGAGTATAGACATTTTCTATACTTATAATATGTTAACGATATGAGTACAGAAATCACAGTATGTATCCACGAACACCTGTTAATATTTAATTATATAATTGTATATTAAATTTGTTTAAACTTATATGAATGAAATATCTTAAAAATTAAAATTAAATTTTAAATTAGAGAATCTTAATTAATAAAATTGTATATAATATTTTAATAATTTAAGTTTTAACTTTTAAATATTATTTTTAAAGAAATTATTAGAATAAATAAAATTATTATTAAAATATATTTTATAAACTATTATTTTTTTTAAATAAATATCCATCGATACTTATAAATATTTGAGGATATTGAAAAATACATAGATACTCACTTAACAAATACATAAATATAAAAACAGATACAAAATGAATATTTATCTAATTAAAATAAAAAAAAAATTATTACTCATATCTGTTCCACCCCGTTAATATCACTAAATATAAGTCATTTACGATATCCGGCATAAGTATGTATTTGTATTATTTAGGATTATTAGATATATGTAAGCCGATTGTCACAGAAAACTTATATTTTTTTGCAGATTTTTTTTATTCGGTGATCAGAAAATCTTAAAGCTAAAGGAATTTTCTAATGTTAGTAAATGTATTTTCATTATTGTGGATAAAATATGCAAAAGATGTTTTATCGTGTCTAAAGACACATGATGTAAAAACATTAAATATATTTTATTAAACATTAATTTTTATTTTGTTTATTTTAACTTCCTATCAATCATATATAAATCATTTACTTTGATCCATAAAATTTTTTTCGAGAAATATACATATTACTTTATTTCTATTATTATAATTTAATTGATACAAAGTTCAACATCATAAATAATGACTAATACACAATAATATTTTTTTAAAAAAAAATAGTCTATTCTATATATATTTAAGTCAAAATTCAAATCTTAAACAGTATAGTTAAATGATACATGTATTTATTAACTAATGTTAGCTTGCACATAAGTTACTCTTTTTTTTTTTACATAAATAAATCACTTTTGATGAGTATGAAAGTGGTTAAAAAAAGGGGGAGTACGTAGGACTAAAATTGAGGAAGAAAAGCAGAAAAGAGAAAAGGTTAAAAGGGGTGAAATATTCTCTTGATCATATATGCTCTGTATGGTGCTACCCACTTTCCACGTAATTCCACGTATACCATATACCATATACACTTCATCATGATTCAATTGCTTGTTATTTTGCAGAACATGCCCTTCATGAAAAGAAGAGGGAGGAGTCATTAACTTTCTTGTAGTCAACTTACGAACCAAAAAAAGCAATATGGCAAATTTTCATCATTTTCCAGAATAATATAACCACATTTATATTATATTACCCAATGCATATATTAAATCTCTCATTTTTCTTGCCTAATAAACAAACAAATAATGAGACCCCACAAAGTCACACCCAATCATAATTAATTCCCCTTCATTCACACTATCCCACATCCTCTCTTCTTCATCTATATATATAATATTTATTCACAACGTTTCAAGCTGCATCAAAGTCCTTCAACATTTTTCACCCTCACAATTCTTATACCATGAGTTTTCATAACACAGGACTTGGACTTGGTCTTGGCCTTGGTCTTGTTGGCTTCCATGATCATCAATCAGAGAATTCCATAGAAAGCCACAAGAAAAAGGTGGAAAATCCATCAAAATGTAACAAAGAATATCCATCACTTACATTAGGACCACCAGATGATGATGAAGTGAATAATCAACCAAGTTCAAAGACCGAGTCCTATGAATATTTTCGACCACAAGTTTCTTCCCCCAGCGCAGTGTCTTCATTTTCCAACTCTTCTAGTATCAAGAGGGAGCGAGATCAGGCCTTGGGAGAAGAATTTGAGGTTGAAGTTGAGAAAGTTCCAACAAGGGTTGCTGATGTTGATGAAGATGGTAACCCCAGAAAGAAACTTAGGCTCACCAAAGAACAATCTGCAATCTTGGAAGAAAACTTCAGAGAGCATTCTACTCTTAATCCGGTATCTTAATTTTCTTCTTCTTCTAATAATCATGTTGTTAATACGATATAACATTCCTTGACATGCTAATAATTAATTTCTGTCAAAAAAAAAATTGCTTAATTACCTTTGGTGAAAGATACCTTAATTAATTAGTGACAATTGTATTATGATGCATTTTTTCTTCTTCTCATTTTCACTTTTTTTTTCTCATATCATTTATGATATCTATCACTTTTTTCTTTCTTTCTCTATCTCTTTTCCTTCCATTCATATACCCGAAAATGGAGTGTATGTTGATATTTTCCATTAATTAATATTATTATGTATATGATATGATTGAGTTGATCATGGTTTAGTTTATTTTTCTTAGAATATCATTAATTCACTGTAGTGTTTCCTTTGTCATTTTCCTCAGAAGCAAAAGCAAGAATTGGCAGTGAAGCTGAATCTACGGACAAGACAAGTAGAGGTGTGGTTTCAGAATAGAAGAGCCAGGTAATTTACAAAGTGGGATCGGAACTAAGTGTTCATAAATCTATGCTTCAAGCTCCATGTTATTTATTGAATAATTATTTACCTTATATACTTCCTTCTAATAATAGAAAATTATTAATTAGGAAAATATTTATTATATAAATCAATCAATACTAACTTTCCAAGTAATGAAAATATACTTAAAAAATTGTTTTTAATATTATTTAACTAATGTCTTTACGTTATTCAATTCATTAGCACACGAACTTTATTTAAAATAAAATATTAAATATATTCAAAGTTTTGAGATAGTGAATTTTTTTATTTGATTTTACTTTAGGTCTTTCAAATTTAGATTACGTGTGTTTTTCGAGTTGGTTAAATTCCTTTATTTTTGAAAAATAGCAAATTTAGTTTCCTGTTATCTTTTTATCTCAAAATCCCAAATTCTTACTTTTACCTAAACATTTGAGGGCTTGTGATATAATTGTTTTTAAAAATAAAAAAGTAATAAGTTTAGCAGAAACTTAGTAAAATTCAATAGATTTTAAATGATATGTAAGATAAGGATTTTTAAAGAAGAAAAATTTAGAGATATTTTTAATTTGGGTGAAATTTAATAGTTTAATCAAACAATTTTGAGCGGACAAGAAATTCGATTGAATTAGTTTATAAAGATTTTAGAAGAAAATGAAAATCTGAAAGTTGTAGGGAAGAATAAAATTGGTGGGAAGACCACCAACTTTTACTAAATTTTAGAAATATAAAAACTTAGTTGACTTAAAAAAAATAGAAAATTTTAATCTCTTAAACTTCAAACTAGAGAAACTAAAAATGTAATCATCCAATTATGCCAATATTCTTATTTAGTACTAGTTATATTTTAAGTAAGTGATTGATAGACCTTTTTTTTCTAACATAATTATATGTGTACAGGACAAAGCTAAAGCAAACGGAGTCAGATTGTGAACTACTAAAGAAGTGTTGTGATACTCTAACAGATGAGAATAAGAGGCTGCAAAAGGAAGTGCAAGAGCTAAAGTCAATGCAAACAAGGGCAGTGCCCCTTTATATGCAGATTCCCGCAGCCACACTTTCCATTTGCCCTTCTTGTGAGAGAATGTGTAGTGGTAACAACGACAATAATGATAATGATTCTTCACACACAACAACATTATTTATCGGCTCAAATAACCATCATAATCACTTTTACAAAAGTAGCTATCCATTTTCCCACTCATCATCGGCAGCATGCTAGATTTTTGTATTGATTCATGAGAATCGAATTCAGTATGAAAGAAGTTTACAGTAACTTATACACGATGTACTCAGAAACAATGCAAAATGCTAGATTGCTAGCTAGGGAGGCTATTATTAAGTTCAATTTCGGGGAAACCTTTGCCATTGTTGCGAGGGTTGTAGTAATTAATTATATAGTTTGTTAGCATGTAAATAATGATATATAGATGATTAATTAGTGATCATTAGTGTATATATATAGATCTACCCCACCACATGTTTTCTTACGATGCACGTGAATGATTATATATATTTATACTTTAAAAAAATAGAAATTAAGATCAATTCAAAGAGATTTTTCTAATCTGTTGTAATTTAATTATAGGGTTATCATATGGTTAAATATCTACATTTAATTTTTATTATGGTTGATATATTTGAATTGAATGGCATGAAGGATTTGCTATTAGGGGTGTTCATGGATCGGTTTTTGAAAAAATCGATTCAAACTAAACTGAACCGTTTTATAAAAGTAGATCGGTTAACCGATCCATTTTTTATAAAATGGATCGGTTTGGTTTTTTTAAAATATAGATCGATTTTTTTAAAATTGGATCGATTTGGTGCGGTGCAGATATCCACTTTTTACTCATATATGGATCGGTTTTTTTAAAAAATCAAACCGAACGAACCGATCCACTTTGTAAAAATTGATTCAATAACTGAACCGGTTTTATAAAGTGGTTCAATTCTGATTTTTTTAAAAATGGATCAGATTTTTCAATACAGATCGGATCGGTTATAGATCGGTTCGAATCAATTTAAATTTTTTGCACACTCCTATTTGCTATCGACTGGAAACTGTGGAATAATCCAATATTTTTTTAAGGTTGTGGAAGAATGAAAATGTTAAGCGCAAATGTTGCTTTAAGGATTGCTTCCTTGGTACGAGTTTGTGCATGACAGACACAGATTTGAGAATATTTACTATTTAAGTTCTTAACTAGCTGGAAGTGAGATTAATATATGCTTAAGGTTTATCTTATTTGTGGATTATTTTTATAAATCTCACAACTAGCTAGGATCAAGGTAAAACAACGAAAATATGTTAAAAACATATAAGTTGTTACGAACGTTTATTTAGGAAAATATTGAGAAAACTTAAAAAAAAAAAAGTTTTTGAAAACCAATTTTTGGTTTGAGAGTCAATTATGTGTACACAAATATTAAGATATAAACAAAGTTTTAAATTGTTCAAACATTAAAAAAAATTATAAAATATACATAATCTTTATTGATATAAGTGATATGCAACAGTAATTCTATGAATGTTTAGATTTAAAGTAAAAAATATTATATCAATATGAGAACATGTGTATGTAAACTTTGGTCCAATATTAGAAAAATGCACGAGGTTAAACAATAATTGAGGAAAAAACATACTTTATATTGGTATTTTTGTAATATATTACAAACCATATTAAATGATAAGTATTTTATTAAAAAAAATCCTCTCTTATATATATATATATATATAGTTATGAACTATTGACAAATTTAATATTATTAATTAAATTAACTTGTAAAAAAATTAAACAAACTTATATTCTTTAATTGTTATAAATTGATTAGAAGAGTCTTCTGTGTATATATATATATATATATATATATATATAAGGATAGATTTTAGAATAAGTCTTAAAATAGTCGTTTCACTCAATAATTATTTTATATTAAATTTTAATAATTTAACTGTCAAATTAAAATTTCTTCATAAATAGATCACATACCAATTTTAAAAAATTTGATAATCATATAATACTTTGTTATATAAATTTAAATTAATGTATAAAATACATTTATCAATATCTTTCAATTTAAATTAATAAAATAAAATATTAAATAATATTATTTTTTTCTAAAAATTAACTTATATATTAAAAACTTATAATTTAATAATTAAAAAATTAAAATTTAACGTAAAAAATAAATTATTGAAAGAAATAAATTACATATAACTCATTATGATGTGAGTAAGTGGACCACACATAATTTGAACAAACACATAAATCACACTCAAAATATGACCTCCAAGAGCAATACATAGGAACCAAGATATTTAGAAGAGTGTTTTGTTTTGTTTTTGAATTTCTTTTCTTATTTTTAGAGAGAATAAAATATATAAAAAATCTCAATACTATATCACTACTAAATTTCATACTTTAAATTTTTACATCAGTTTAAATAATCAATGCAGAAATGTTGATGTCATGTAATCTATTTTTACTCTATTTATCAAGTAGGGGCACTAACAACATTGTTAAGACGGCAAATACATATATAGATGATTATTGTACCAACTTAAACCGGAAATAGTTTGACATATATCTAGATGTTTGGAAAAGTATTTAAAAACTTTTTTTCTTATGGTTCTTATATAAGTTTATTCAACTTATAAAATAATTTATATATAATTCCTAAACATTTAATCTATTATAATAAATTGTTATGAATATTAAATTATAACGCAAACTTCTCTTTATCCAAAGACAGTGGTGAAAGAATATTCTTGCAACTTACCATGATTACATCATAATGCGTAACATTAAAGAAGTAGTAAATGTATATAGGAGTTTTGATTGGAGTGACGGTGGTGGTGAATGGTGATGCATCCATTAAAAGCCACTCACAGTGACGCAAAAGAGTGATGTTGGGTGCTTATATACATGTTGTGGTCCCATATATTGTTATATTTTGTTCCTCTATCTTAGCACATAAATAATGGAGTGGACTTTTAGATTTTCATATCACTTTGAGTAAGAGATGGAGATCCCAAGGAGATGGAGCTTAACTAGGTCTTGAGCTTTTAGTTCATATTTCAATTGCATAATCAATAAGTAATTGGTTAGAATTGTACTACACAATTTTATTTTATTTTTCAAATAACATCTTGAGTAAATTTTGTATATAAAAAATATGATTCTAATGAAGACTTTATTAAAAATGGTCAATTAATTAAGTTTTTTTATAAAAATTAATCATCAATAAATTTAGTGTGATAGATTGAAAAATTTTAAATAGTTGAAATAATATTTATATATGAGAAAAGATTTATTTATTTCAAGAGTAATTTTTTGTAAAATTATTCTATTTAATAACTAATGTTTTATATCAAATTTTAGTGATCTAACGTTAAAATAAAAGTTCTTAATGCATAGATAAATTTAGAATTTTAAAAAAATTAAATTATTGGATATTTTATTTTATTAATTCCTTAAGAAAAATTATTGGCAACAAACTAATTAACGGAAAAATTAATTAAGAAGAAAAGTTTCTCAATTTTTCAAGTTCTTGGTTGATCTTTTGTAAGAAACAGAAGAGGGATCGAGTATTAATCTAGGATTTGTAATTCCATTTTCCATGTTAAACATTAGATGCTATCATAAAACTTAATTTTATTTGCTAATGGCCTTCACGGATTATTAATATTGAAATTTGCATTGTATCATGTGGCATTTTGCTTCAAATCTTTAGCATTAATGCTCTACCAATATATCATTAGGCTCTCAAATCAAATAGATGACAAGACATGTCACATTAGTTAAAAAGAAGATATAGTCATCAAAATATATTTTAGCTGGTTTATATATATGAAGAGTTAATTAGGTCTAATTTGTGTTAAATGATATGATTGAGGATACCTGTTTTCTCTAATATTAAGGTATTAATGCTGGAGCACATGCAAATCTCAAATTCGAACGTAATTAAAACAAATCTTATGAAGCATAATGAATACGTACAAAAATATATGTTAAAATTAGTATGAGAAAAAAAAAATTTATTAACACTCTTTACCAAGAGATGCAACTAAATCACGTGGCAAAAAGCAATCATGCACCGCACCACGAAGTTCTTCATATCTTTGCATTGGGTCCCGTGAATTGTGATGATTAATTATTACGTGCAAGTTAGGTGAGTTTGGATTATGCATTTGTAACCTTATTCGTTTAATTAGGGACAAAAATATACGGAAAGAATGGTTATCATTACAAGATTATGTGTATGTTTACTTTCACCTTTGCAATGGATAATTAAACACATGCTATATCATATGGGTAAACATTAACATGCTTTATTTACGGGGGAATTTTGAAAAGAAAGAAAATAGATAATATGAAGACCAAAATTTATATATATTCTCTTTCGTTTCTTCATAGAACTTATATTTGACATTCATCTTTACATTTTAAAAGCAAATTTAGAAGAAAGATAATTTTTTAATTAACCAATAAGGAGTACTTTGATGATTGAGGAATTGTATTTTAATAATTAAAATTTTTAAAAATATATGATATTTTATTATATATTCAAATTAATGTATAAAATATTTTTATAATTATCTCAATTTAAATTAATGAAATAAAATATCAAATAATTTTTAATTTTTTAAAAATTTATAAGTTTGATCTATACATTAAGAACTTTTAATTTAAGAATAGGATACTAAAATTTGATATAAAATAAAAGTTATTAAATAGAGTAAATCTATCAAAACTTATTCTTAAAGTATTAAATTTTTAAATTATTTTTTAATTAAAACTATTTTATCTTGAATGAGAGCATTTTAGGAGTCATTCTTCAATAATAACATTTTTTTTACTACTTTTTTAACATGATTCTATCAATTTATATTTTTTTTGTAAATTAGGTTTTAATAATTTTTAAAAGAAATTATAAATAATTAAAAATAATATTATATTACAATATAAATTATTTATTATAAATATAAAATAAAATTTTTTGATAAAAATTATTTATTACTAAGTGTCTATATTGTAGATTGTAGATACAAGTTAAAAATATTTATGAGAGTTTCTCTTTTGAGAATAAAGAGTTATTGCTAATAGATATAAACTCTCAAGCATACTCAATTTAATTATATTATGATTTATATATTAAAAATGCTTATTTGTAAATTATATTAAAAAAAATAGTTATATTGAATAAAAATTTGTCGTTTTTTAGAACTTTTTAATTGTCTTGTGCATTACACATTCTTGCTAATTAAAATACTAGCTAGTCGTTCGATAACTACTAAAATGCATGATTAATAATAATTCTTATAACATTATTAACGTTTTAAGTGCAAAATTATTTTGTATAATTATTTCAAAGATTGGTATTTTCTGTTAAATGGATCATTATTTTACACTGTGCAGTTGAATATGAATTATTGAGAGTTTAT